GGCTCTTATTTCCATTGAGACAATTGCACTGATGATTTGGGCTGCCTTCTTTGTAATTCTTCTGGTGTGACAGAGGTTGTGAAGGCATTCATTGCACAATCCCATGGTTGCCAGACAGCGTAAGACTACAACAGATTGCATTGGGAGTCCCAGCTCCAACTTCGAAACGCTCTCCAATCTCAGAGCTGGGAATTCCTGTTCGCAGCACCTTCCCCTCCTCTGTTTGTGGGCATCGTGGGAGTGAGGGCAGGGGAGAGAGGCAGCGTCATGGTACAAAGCGTTCTAGGAAGCCCTGTGCTCCTTGGAAAAACTCTTGGACAGTTAAGATCAGCCATCTACGTGTTTAGAAGGGACCCAGAGGTGACTTTTCAGCCTGCTCAGACGGTTATGGGCTTACTTCCCTGGAAACTGGAACACTGATACCGTAACAAATGAGATCCATTGGTTTTTTAAAAGGTTAGCTAACTGTGGGCATTTTTGATAAACTTTTTTAAAAAATGAAGCTAATGCTTGGGCTATATTGGAAGAGAAATTACCATAACGGTAGTATCTGTTAGCTGGCTAATGTAGATAAAACAGCACCAGCCAGTGTGACGTTATCACTAATGTAGATTACATTGAATCTGCATAATTTACATTTAGTAAATAGCAAAATATGCAGATAGTAGTGAGGCAGAGAGTAATGGAATACTGATTGAATGCTATGACTGGAAGTGAAGTCATGAATACACCAGTGTTTGTGTGGTATCAGTACCGTGTATGGTGTGATCCGTTCAGGAAAAGCAGCTTGTAAGCCAGTGTTGGTATGGGATGATATGGCGCACCTACCTTACAGAAATGTTGTAAACACAATGGAGAGCATTGCTATAGATTTAAAATGTGTACTCATTGCTTTTCCGCACAAGACTGCTCCAAAGCATTCTGTTAATTTATTATTACATTTATTGAACCTCTTACAAAATAAATGTCTCTAGGTATTTTATGAGAAAGGCAACAATACAGAGCAAATAATAAATCAATGTATTTATTATGTCAGTCTGTATGCCACTACAATAGTAGCTCTCTCTCTGCAGCTCACAACAATATAGAACTTTTTAAAATTTTAAAAAACCTTGGAATGTGAAGCGTTCTGATTATTTTAGAAGGGGCACATAATGCCCCTCTTCTCCTATCCCTCAGAAAGGCAAACTAATGCAAAGAGAAGCTGGCACGGGTTTGTTTTTGCCTATTTTTCCTGACCATCTTGCAGCAACAGCACGGAGACAACTGACTTATTCACAGATAGTAGCAACACTTCCTTCTCGGCAGGTCTGCGCTGACTAGCACCGGCTTTCATGCCATCCCCGGTCACTGTGCCAAAGGGTTTTGGCACAGACTTGGCAAGGGGGCAACTTGACAGCCTCCTCAGTTGCCAGACAAACATCCCACCACCGGCCTGGCGGCACATGCTGAAGCCTTAAATATTAGAGCCTTCCAACGGGGAAGAAAGAAGGCAGGAGAGCGGGAGTTTGAAGGAAGGAATGCCGGTTTAATGTCCGTGGTGCCAGCAGCCTTTTTCAGCGCTGGGGGCTGCGAGCTGAAGCAGGCGAAAGGAAGGGGGTCTGGAGAGCATCAGAACAGCCTCCTGATAAAACTAGTTCTTGGCAGAAGTGCAGACAGAAGCCAGACGCATCATTTTCTGATAGCCCCCGAAGCAAAATACCAACAAGTCCCACAGGCCACACATGAATGCACTGGCTGTGTCTGGCTTTGCTCCTGATAGCAACAGCAGCAAGGTGTGTTGCCTGTGGAGGGTTAGGACTCTTCCCATGGGAAGCGGAGTCACCCAGTGTGGTTCGAGTTTGCATGGGACTCACCAGGCGGCTTTGGCCGATCACTGACTCTCTGCCTAAGCAACCTTACAGGCTTGTTGTGAGCATGAAATGGAAAGGAGGAGGACCATATATGCCACTTTAGTCTCCTTGCAGGAAAAGGCGGCATATAAATGTATCAAATACTCTTCTTCCCTTCAAGCTTGCTGAACACTCGTGCTCTTTCTTAATATTAATGACTGTTTCATTGGCTGTCTGATCAGAGGAAAATGGTTTTTGTTGGAACTCTGTTGGGTGTGGTATGCACCTCCCCAGTTCCCTGCAGCTGCTACTGGTAAAAGAAGAAGTCAGATGTTCATTTGAAGTGACTTCTATTCAGGGTCATAAGTCCTTCCTCAAAGCCTAGCATGGACAAATCTGTCAGTTCTAGCGTCTCATTTTTCTGTCTCATTGGTTCAACCCAAGCACTGAGAATCACTCTTTAAAAGTTCACATGAAAATCTGTTTCCCTTAATATCACCATTTCTACACAAACGCGCATTTTGCAAGCAATTTTTGCAGTGCAATGCATTTTTAACATTATTTTCACTAAACTACACATTTCTATTTCACCATGTACATTTGTTTTGGTTGGAGGACTCCATTGCAAAATGTTGCAGATGGAGAAGTGGACCCATTGTAGTGACAAATTGTTTGTGTGTTGGTTCAATGGTGGGAAGTGAGATGAGTTTGCATAGCCCTAAAATGCAAACTGAATGAATTTCTTTACTCATCTTCATCAAAACCCATATTTCAATAAGTGCCTCTTGAACAGAGCCCAGTACAGAAATTTAAGCCAAAGTAAGTTTACTGATATGCTTTGGTCCCTTTATTGAAATTGAGGTGATAAGCTTCTTTCGGGCATCAAAATGCCACTGTATTTTGACTGTGGTGTGGAAATGGCAAGCAATACAGTGCAGTTCTGTAGCACTGAATTGCAGGATTGTGTAGGCATGTCATGAGTGGAGCTGGCCGGAGCCAGGGATTCGACTAGATAGCCCAGGAGGCCCCTTGTGACTCAATCTGTTTTTATGTTCTACGTGAAACACTCCTTTATTTTATTGTGGTCTCCTTGTGTTCTCTATCAAGGCGTCACATAAGATCCACCCAACAGGAAAGAAACAAGAGAAGAAACTGTCAGTCCAGGGATTTCAGGAAGTGCCCTTTTAATACTTTGGAGGCTTTTTAAAGGAGGAAACTGAATGGTTTTGAAGAAGGCAAACCAGAGGGGGTTGAGAGGACATCAGAGTTGGGTTCTGCCTACAGTTCTGTCAAATGCTCCTTTTTACCAGATGACCATCAGAAACAGACTTCAGGCAAATCTTGAGGATAATTATCGGAGGCATTGAATGGGAGTGCCTTTGGTTTTAACCCTCTCGCTGTGGGAGGGGGCAGGACGCTGAGCTGGGGGAGGGTGGCTCTTCCGCCTTCAAAAGGCTTTCAGCAATAACCAAGCCAAACATGTCTCCTTCCGTGTTCAAAAGTTCAGCAGCAGCCCTGGGAAGTCCCAGGATGAGAAGACTTGCTTAAGTCTTCTTGGCTTTCCAGGAGCTCCAGGGGCTGCAGAGCACCTGCACCTCTGAACAGCAGGTGCTGGAGGCAAATGTTGCCTTCTTCTGCTGGTCAGGGGCCTCCAGAAAGAATCTGGCACAGGGACATCAGGACTCTCCCATCCTGAAGGCCGGATTCAGTTCTGGAGACATCTTTGGGGCACACCATGCCAGCAGCGGGTGGAGATGAAGGTGAAAGGAGGCATGGCCAACATTGTCTGTCTGTGTTGGGATCCTCTCAGGAGAGCCATGCCAACTCTTGAGAGACAACGAGACCGCAAAAAAGCCCAGAAAGCACCACACCAGGGGCAGCTGCAGGAAGGAGAGAGGGCAGAGAAAAAGGGCATGGCCGGCTGCAGGGTGAGGCCCCTAAGTGGGCCAGACTTGGCCCAGAGGCCTAGCCCTCCTGATCTGCAGTGGCTTGGTGAAACGGCGGGGTGGGCTAGATACGTTTTCCATCTGATCCAGCAGTCCTAGGATGTCTTCACTCAGTGACAGGCTGGGGGTCGGGCGCACCCACCTCCCCATTGGTCCGAAGAGGCAGGAGTGGGGGGATGCCACCTAGGCCCCTCTTCTGGCCACTTGGCCCAATGATTGTTACGTAGTCCAGCTACACCATAATGGAGGCAGGTGGGGAGGACCGGGCTCTGACATTAGGCAGACGGAGGCAGCCCCCTGGGGCAGACACGGGGGGCCTGGGGCAAGTGGGGGCAGCCGGGTGTTTGAGGGAAGATCTGCAAGCTGCACAGCCTGCCCCATCGCCGGAAGGCAACCCCTGGGGGGTCAGTGCATGACTTTCCTCATTGCTCCTGCTGAAGTAAGAGTCGAAGAGCAGCCTTTGGAACGGGGCTGGGGCAAGGGTCCTTCAGCTCAGGCTGGAGACTTGCCCAGGCTGGCCCTGTGGTGAAGCCCGGGGTCGAGCAGGCTCAGGCATGCGGTGGCGGGCCAGAGGAGGTAGCCAGAAGAGGAGCGATGCAAGGCCTGTTCCACACGTAGGACGTGCCAGGTTTAATCTCCGCCATTTCCAGGCAGGGTCGGAAAAGCCCCACCTGAAACTGTGTGGAGCCACCACTGGGGTTTGTGGACAGCTGAAGAATGGCACCACCCCCACCTCGGGTTGGAGGACACCCCTCCCGAAACCCATTCCTTGAGCTGCAAGCCGGGCTATTTGGAGGAGCAAGTGGCAGGGGACTCTCGGAGCTAAGTCACAGCAAAGGGGCACCAGGCTTCCGAGTAGCCCACGGTTCTTGGGAGTGCATCAAAGGGGCAGGTCACATTCTGCCCTGTTTAACCTCCACTCTTCACCCATGAAGAGTGGATTCCATGGCCTGTGTGTCATGCATAATTTGTTTCCTCCAACTGGGAAGAGTTTGTGTGGAGATTTTCAGCGGAGAAGCCGAGGAGAACAGAAAAAGTATTCCAAACTCACCCCCTTTCACTCCCTACCAGCATTTGAAATTTCACTGGTCCTTGCCTGTCGATGTTGAAGTTTATCTTCATGGTCAGCCATGACTAGAAGCTTGCTTTTAGCAGATTAAACAAACCAACCATCAAACGTGTTGTCTCTTGAGTTCAGCTGACTATCTCTCTCTCCCTGTAGATCTAGGAAGATCCCAGTTCTGTACCTACACCGCCTCTGCTGAAGAACAAGAATTTCATCAGAAAATAGGACAGAAGAAAAGAGCAATTTCTGTGCAAGAAAAACAAAAAAAGTGAAGAAGTTGTGACCTGCCATTACCGGAGAAAATCTATCAACAGTAGCACCAGTGTTTGGAAAAGCAGCCAAGTGAAAGGGGCTGGAAAGGTAAATAGTTCTCTTTGAGCCCTCACAGTACAATGCTGGAAGCAGGTTTGGTCACAGAAGCCTCCTTCCTGGAATCTCTTCCGAAGAAAGGGAGAGCCAGGGCTGAAGGGCTGGTGGATGTTAAAGGAAACTTTCCTTCTTTGGGCAGAGACTGCAAAGGGCAGAGCCAGGGAGCTCCGCGGAATCGTGCTTAGTATCTGTGACACCCACGTACTGCCCAAGGGCTCTGTTGAGGTGGGGATGGGGGGAATGCAGCCCCTTTGGCTTCCAAGAGATGAAACCAGTCTGAGGAGGATGCCACCCAAGGCTCTTAGTCCGGGCAAGCGAGGTCGCAGCACGGAATGCTCCTGTGCAGGGTTCCAGCCAGCCACTCCCTGATCAGGACATGCCATTCCAGTCCTCCTCTCCCCCAGTCCGCAACACGCACGCCCCAACCCTCTGCCACCAATCTGGGGCTGGTCCTCACTGAGCTGCTCTGGCTCCCGCCACCACCTGGCTCAGCCTTCCTTTTCAGCCAAGGTGTGCTTGCTTTGGAGGTGCTTGTTCCACATACCGAAGGTCTCGGGTTCCATGTCCAGGCAGTGCTGGGAACGCTGCATGAAACCCTGGAGATGGCTGCTGCCAGCCAGTGACGACAACACTGGGCTGCATGAGCCGCTGGAATAAGGCAGGTTCCTATGTTCCAAGGTTTTTCGAGAAAGAACAAGGCTCCGTGGTAGAGCACCTGCCTTGCAGGCATTCCCAGGTAGGGTGGAAAAACTGCCTGAAATTCTGACAAGGTACTGCCATTCAGTGTGGGCAATGCTAAGCCAGTTAGACCAGCGCTCAGCATTTGGCTTCTTCCTTTGTCTGTACGTTACTACAGTGTGATGGACCTTTGGCAACCAACTTCTGTATAGAAAGAACATAATTTTACGTTGTTTTAAATACCAGTCGAGGTCTCCCTTAATCTAGTTCTGCCTGAACTGAGCCAGATGTATTAAGCCAAGAGTTTCTGAAGTATCTGGCATTCCCCTCTCCCTTCTCCACCCTGCCACTTCTGCAAACTTTAAGGAGCACACTGCCTTAAAACGGGATCCTTTGAAATTCCATTTGAGCTGGATGGACAGGGCAGGAGGAAAAGACCTCTTCTGGAAACAGAGAGACCGCATGCTTTGCTATCTCGTGCTTTGGCGGAAAAACAAGTTGCCATCAATCGCAACAGGAAAAGGCGCCCATTTTGTATGTCATTCTCTGCACCGTTTTGCCTTGTCTGGGCTTTTTCTCCTGCTGCCGGTTATCACCATCCACCTAATTCAGTATTAACATTTTTTAATGCGCTTTAGGGTTTGCAGCCAAGAAGCCACACAGGGAACTTTGTAATGTGCAAATCCCTTTTGAATGTGACTCTGGATATTTCCCCCCTATTTCAGATAATGCCTAGCCTATTGCTTCTCTGATGTATGCTAATCTCTTTGTGTTAAAACGCTTCCCATGAGTAGAGCAAGAGTGTAACGTGAGGGACCAGCAACTAGCAGCCTGACCTCCCAGACACTTTCTGTCTCATCCATTAGCAGAACTAATGATCTCTCTTTATCATTCAGTGTGTGATAAACTTGGGTAATTGGTCTCTCCAAGATGCAGTGATGGCTGTCCCTGTGCAAGCCTTTTAGAGAGAATGAGACACATTTATGGGGACGGGTCTACCAGAAGGGCTAAATGGCGCTTCAGCTTGCAGGGATATCATACCACTGGATAGGAGGTGCTGGGAAGTGACAGCCGAAGACAGCTTCTGGCTTGCCACTGTGGTGAGACAGGATCCTGGACATTTAATTAGGGAAGTACAAGAAATTCTATTTTACTCCCCAGTCATGCAACCGTGACCCGTTCTCCTGCAGGTACAATTAATGCAAATTCATTTAGAGCACGTGTCTGCCAAAAATACCCACAGATAGGTGAACACATGTTCATACTCATCTCATTCCCTGTTCAGATTGTTTTAGTTTATGGAGGAAAGTTACTCAAATTTAGGGAAATTTGCACAAATCTTGATGGCAGCTCGATTTTCCCAAGAGAAAAGTTCCAACAGCATTTATGACGGAGAATTGAGCCTCATCATGGGGTCAGGGACAAGATAAGGCACCGGTTCTCCCTCCTCTCCTGGGTTCCCTCCCATCTCTTGCAAAATGGGACTGGGACTCCGGCGATCTGGGTTCGAGTCCCCGCTCAGCCATGGTGCCAACTGGGTGACTTTGGGCCAGTCACAGACTCTCAGCCCGACCTACCTCACAGGGTTGTTGTTGTGGGGATAAGATGGAGGAGGAGGAGGATGTAAGCTGCCTTGAGCCCTTGGTAGGGAAAAGGCAGGATATAAATCAGGAAAAAAAATATCTCTGCACTCAGGGTCAGCCTGGGAAACTGCTGGCCATGACTTTGATGGAGCTTCAAAGGCTCCACCCCCACCCTTTGATCCTCCTGCCCTCCCATCACCTCTTCCGCATTGCTCTCCCCTTCAGAATCCAGTACTGCAGGCGCTTGGAAAGTCTGCCCCTCTCAGTGCAACTTCACCCATTCCCACATCCCTGCGTTTAACCCAATTGAGGAAAAAGGCTGTCCTCCACCAATGACTCGAACCCTGCTTCTGTCTCGGTCCTCCGCATCTGCTCCTATCTACTTCTTTTGTCCAAGCAAACAGCTGGTGTCCTGAATGGTTGCTACTGGTGTTGACGGGAGCGGAGTGAGCAGCGGAGCCAATGCTGCCACACCTTGAGCCTCCACTGCGTTTGGGCGGTGGCTCCTGTGAAGCATTTGTCCCCGACTGGGCGCAGAGAATCGTGAAAGAAAGCTGCCTTCACCGGTCCTGCCAAACTGAGCTCCGTGTCTGTGTTTTTAAGTTGTGCCGCTGGGATCCCTGGGAGGCTCTGGCATGTTTTTAGCGGGTTCCGGAGTCTAAAATGAAAACAGTAATAATGAAATCGTAATTACATCCAAGTATTAGTGCGAGGGAGGCTGGATGCACTGTGGACTGTAACCATAGCAGCTCCTGATTTTGCCTAATGAGCAAGGGTATGTATATTACTCCTGTTCCCATGCCCAGGATTGGGTTGTAAGCCTTGAGCTGAGTATATCATTTCAGTATCCAGGTAGCAAACCAGGGGAGAGTTTTTAATGGAAATTCATAGCACAAGGTCAGGAAAGTGGGTTAGATAACCCAAGAATTTGAGAAGAGATCAGATAGTGAGACACTTCTGTTAGGAGAGAAGATGCAGAGGAGTAAAACAAGCTAGCCAGAGGCTTAGATAAGCAGCCCCCTCTCTCTAATGCACTCCTTAGCGTGGATAGAGCTTACCTGTAACTCGGTCTCTCTCCTACCCTTGGCTATCTGCTCATCGACTCAAACTATAAGCTACTAAGAGTTTCTCAGGTAATTGGCAGAAGCATTTGCAGTTCTGGACTGGGAAAGTATCACTGAGAGGGTCACGGAGATGTGCCTGGTGGAGTTGCGGCTTCTCGGCTGCATGAGGAGGCTCATGGGGCTGCCCCTGGAAAGCAGGGGTGGGCGGTGGAGCGAGTCTGGGGCCCAGAGCCTGCAGCCCCAGAGATCCTCCTGGAGGCCATGCTGTTCCCCACCCCACACTTGGCAATGGGAACGCTTCAAGAAAGCCACACTTCTTGACAGACCTAGCACCGTGGAGTGCTAAACACGTCTCATTTTGCTTGGACCTTGGAGCACCCCCATTCGCTCATCCTGCTCTGAAGACAGTGTGGGGGTGCATGTGTAGTCCATCCAAGAGGCCCTGGGTTCAATCCCGGGCACTTCCTGTTAAAAAAGAAACACCCTCCATCCAAGATTGTGAAGCATGTTGACAGTCCATATGGGCCTCTCCATGCATTGATTTGCTCACGCTAAACCAGAGAGGTTTTCCTGCTGTTCTTAGCCTTCTGTAAACCAAATTATATTGCAGCCCAAAGCGACATATCCTCCAGACAGAGAAGCAGAGCAGGCACAGAATCGGAAGCGTTTCCCGTGGTCCCTTTGCCTCCATCCTTTTTATCTCATGGGTGCAGAGGAGACCTGGGAGCAGACTACGCATCGCATTAAGGCTGCTTGATTAGAGGTTGTCGGTCTGGCACGCAGATGGTCTCCGGTTGAAGACGCGCCAGCCGAACGGAGTGTGCCTCGCCGCATTTTTTATTTAATACCCCAAAGCTGCGCAAAGGCTCAGCTGGCGAGGTTTGCATTGGAGGGCTTTGGTTAATTGCCAGGCGTTAGTGAGTTTTCTTGCTTGCCAACACAAGCTGGCACTGCTTGAAAATGCTGTTACAGCCAAAGCTGAAAATGCTAAATGAATCAAGGTGGATGGAGCCCGTCCATCGGCCAGTTTGACCCCAAGCGTGAGAGAAGGCACTGGAATTTCTGCAAAGCTTCTCATCATGATTCTTGAGCATAGCTCACCGTTTGATCCTTGCCACACGTAAAAAAGAAGGCACACGCTAGGAGAGCAGCAGAAGCCAGTGCGATGTGCCCAAAGAAGGGCCATTGAGACGCGGGACCTGCCTTCCTTTCTTCCTTTCTCTTTCCGAGCAAAACCCACATTCCTTGCGAGAGACTACACGCAGCTTTGTCGTTTTTGTTTTCTTTTTTACTCTTGAGTAACGCAGAGATGCTGATACAGATCGGGACCTTAGTGTAGCGGGTGCAGGGCCCGAGCTCTTTCTTCCCACCACAGGCCTAATCATCTCGCCCCACCTACAAAGCATATGCTGCCGAAGAGCAATTTTTTGCTTTTCTGCTTTGCAATTTGCTGGTGGAAACGGCAGGTGTGGGCCGTTGCTCTGGATTGGGACCGCAGTGAGGGGAAGAGTAAAGCTTCCATCCCTACCATGCCAGGTTTCTGATCTAGCTTACTCTAGAGCAAAGAGAGAGAGCAATGCTGCTCCTTGCAATGTGCTTCCAGGAATGTTGCTTTGGAACTTGGATTGTGCGTGATTAAATCTCAGGAAACCTGTTTTCCCCATTT